CCCCACCCCTCCTCTCTCCCCCAGACACACCATACACACTGCCTACCTACCTGCCTGCCTGCGTAGCTGTATGCCCCTCTCAATGTTGGACAAGAGACACAGACGTATGGAAAAGACTGACTGACTGACTGCCTGACTGCCGCACTGCTGGTTTATATCTTTTTCTGTCTGGCAGAACAGAGGCCATCGATCCACCCCATGGCACCACCATGGCCAAGAGTCTGTATGTCTCTATCGTTCATTGTGTACCTATTACCTGCAGACAGGCGACACGAAGGCGAGCTACTCACCGTCAGTCAGTCATATCAGCGTGTGTGTGCACCGCGCCGCGCCCCCTATGTGTGTCATGTGTGTCATGCATGTGTGCTGCCAAACCGACCTCCATCCATCTTTTTGTCTTCCGCGCGTGGGGTCAATGTGCGTTAGCGTGAGCGTGACCGTGTGTGGTTGCAGTCAGGCCACGACCGGCAAAGCGAAAACAGAGGAGACAGCACAGCACATTGCCCGCACGCACACCCACACGCGCCGGCACGCCCGCCAATACCTGACACCGATCTTAAATGACTGACTGCCTCTCTCTATGTCTCTGTATGAGTGTCTCTCTTGTGTATTGTCTTGTGGCTGTGTGTGTGGGGTGTGTGGGTGGACAACAAACGAACGAAGAATGACATGACGCGCTGCGTCAGTCAGCCGTCTTCACGTCTTCCATCCTCTCTAACACGCAGAGAGGCCGAGAAGAGCATCGTTTATATAGCTGGTCGGTATGTATGTACCTGTCGACGACTGTCTGTGCAAACCGAGCCAGCGAGCGAGAGAGGCCGTCTTGCCGGCACACACAGGAGAGAGGGAGAGCGGGAGAGGTCAGCAGAGAGGGATAGGGACAGAGAGTCCACCAGCTGTGGGTGCGAAGGAAAGCGCAATGCTAAATTGGGAGGCGTAGATACAGCCAGGCAGGCAGACAGGCGGGCTGGGAGGGAGAGCGCGAAATCGGTAGTTTCGCCCCGCCCCGCTCTTGCTGGTAGCCAGCATGCCGTTCAAGCATGCCAGACAGCAACACCCCTCCCTCTTGTACATAGCCCAATAGCAGCTCAGCCCTGCCCTGCCCCCGTCTGACTGCCTGTCTGTCTGTCTGTCTCCCCTCCCCTCCCCTCTTTTCTCTCTCCTTCCCCCGCCTCTCTCCTGTGCGGGTCGGTCGGTCGGTCGGCCAGTCAGGCCTTCTCGTGTGGAAGCAACAACCAACCGCTCTTTTTCTCCGCCCGATGCACTCTCTCGTCACGAGCGAGCGCATGTGGGATCAGTTTTCTCCTGCTGCGTCATTTCGCGCGCGGCTAAGAGCACACACACACACACACACATACCGGACCGCATGAGCGAGCAGACGAGGAGCGAGAGGGGTGAGGAGAGCGAGTGGTTGTTGTGATGGTATGGTGGTCGATTGATTCCACACCGTGCATGTGTGTGTATCTATCTCTCTGTGTGCTAGCTGTCGTGTGAGTGAGGGTGAGTGTGTGCCTTGCCCGTACATACAACACTCATTTCGCCCGCTTCCCATTATAGTGCTTGCGTGCGTGTGTGCCGAGCGAGAGGAGGAGAGGAGCCATTTGTTAGTGCGAGCCAGCAACAACAAAGTCTTTGTGCGGTGCGGTCGGTCATCATTCGGGCGGGAGGTTGGTCCATTCTCACGGGAGGTTTAAAGCAGCTAGCTACTCACACGTGGATTTACAAGAGGGGCGGGGATGCGTTTGTGCTCTGACTGACTGACCTGGCTGTGGTGTGGTGTTTCTGATGATGGATGCCAACCATACCAATGGATGGATGGATGGATGGTGTTTTGAAGGTGGTGTGCTGCAGCCAGCCATGAGGGGGTGGGGTGGGTGCATCGCGCGTGCGTCGTTTTGCATGCCACCAACAACGCATGCATGCATACACAGACATGGGGTGGATGGATGTGCAGGCGGTCGGTCGGTTGGTTGGTTGGTTTCTCTTTCCCTCTTGTCCCCTCTCCTCTCTCTATCTCTGTTGGGCGTCAGTGTCACTGTTCATTTCTTACAATCCTTCCTTCTCGTTCTCCATCAACGGTCTCTTAGACTCACAAAAGCAGAGAAAGTGGCTGGATGGCGCGGCCATTTTTGATTTGAATCAGAGAGGAAGAGTGAGAGGGGAGAGGAGGGGGGAGGGCAGAGGAGAGGTGTCTGTCCCCCGTCTGTCTGTCTCTGTCTGTCTGCCTGTCGGTGTGTCTCACTGAGTTCGTCGGTCTGTGAGTACGTCTTGGGTGCGTGTCTATCCACTCTCTACGTCTGCTACTGCCTACTTTCTCTTCCTCTGACGTCTGGGTGAAAGTCGGTGTCGCTTTGTCTATTCGTCCGTTGCTCTGTCTGCCTGTCTGGAGTGGCGAAGGGGGCGCTGGCATGCCTTCAGCCAGCCCTCTTGCGGCGCCTATCCAGAAGTGTTTGATACTCTGTCGGTCGGTCTGTCTGTCTGTCTGTCTGTCTGTGTGTCTGTCTGTGTGTGTGTGCCACACCGAGAGAGCGCATGTGCCCCCACCCCTGTATCTGTCGTGAATTAGCTCGCTGTGCTGTGCTGCGCTGTGCGTGTGTGTCGCTTGCCCCTCGGTTGTACAGAGAGAGGGGACGCACACGCACACACACACACACGTGCCAGCCAGCCACCCACCCTGCCAGCCGGGTTGGCCAGCGAGCGAGCGATGCAAAGCCTTAGTCGTACGTCACTCAGTGAGTCAGTGAGTCACTCCCTGCCTGCATGCCTGTCTGTCTGCGTGCCTGTGACGGTGTGTATAGCGACATTGGATGAATGAGTCAGAGGATGGGGAGGTGGGATTGGAAAGGGCTTTTGAAATTTGGAGAGACACCATGTTGCTCCGGAGGGAGGGAGGGAGGGATAGGCGGATAAAGGAAGGGCTTATGACACTCGAATGTCGTTGCTTTGTCGTCAGGGGGCCGTGAGATGGTGTGGGGTGGTGTCGCCCATGCGGTTGGGTTGTCTTGTGTGATGGGGGTGTTGGGGATCGGTCTTCTCTTCTCGTGAGCGGTGCCTGATGCGTGGGAGTGTGTCTCTGCTTCTTCCAGCTGGCTGGGGCTGCGCGACCGCTCCTCTGTGCGCCAGAAGAGCACAGACGGGCAGTCGCAGTCCTTGTCGTTTGCTTGAAGCAGAAGACACACCATACGTCAACAGAAGAGAGAGAGGCCTTGATCTGTCATCTGTCTGTCCATCGAGGCCCTTCCTCTGTTTCAGCCATGTCATTGTTGCCTTCGTGTCTTTCGAACAGGCAGGAAGGCTGACGTGGCGTGGGTCAAGCGAAGGAAGCGCCTCGAGGGACGACCGAGGGACCTCAGAAAGATGAGTTGAGAGAGAGGAGCGGTGTGGTGCGATGCTTTTCCCATGCACCTGTCGTCTGACTGTCTGTGTGTGCGCTGTTGTTGTCAACGCCACTGTACCATAGCGTGAGCCCTTTCCTCCCTCCCTCCCTCTTTGTCTGCCTGCCTGCCTGGTTTACGAGCGAAGACCACTTACTTGCGTTGGCCTGTCTGCCTTGGCGGCTAAGTACAGCAAGACATCACATACCTACCAACATTTTTGGTCCACTCTGCCGGTCTGTCTGGTGTTTGTGTGCGGCCGGGCTGGGGTGCTTTGGTTGCTTCCTCGTTTCTGCCTGCCTGTCTGCTCACAAGGTGCGCGTGAGTGTGCCTTATGTCTGTCTGTCACATCACATGTGGATACTTACTCTCTTCCTGGGGGCTGATCGGTTTGGTTAGTCATTTCGGGTGCGGTGGACTGGTTGGTGCCTTGGTGCGTTGGTGCGTTGTGCTGCGGCTGGTGTGATGGCGGATGGCTGATACATGAGGCGGCTGCCTTTGCTTATCTTATACTAACTACTCACTCGAGCACTCTCTCTCTCTCTCTCTGATTGCTGCATTGCTTTCAATTGAACGATCGACTCATGTGGTGTGTCAACGGTGTGTATGTATGGCGTGATGTGGTGGGCTGGTTGATGGATGGATGGATGGACGGACTCGTGTCATGTGATGCCTGCCTGCCTGTTTCTTGGGCTTTCAACCCCTCTATCGCATCACCGCAACGCTCACATCACAAGCACCATGGTCAGTGGTGGAGTACGCCCGTCACCTACTCTGTGTTGGATACACCCTCAGGGCATATGACACATGCACCGCATCGACAGGTGGGGGCGGTGACACGCCCGTGAGTCGATGCCGTTGACGTGCCGCACGCCCCAAGGGCCAATCCAACCACAGGCACTCCTCGTCTCATGATCTGACTCACACGTGCTTCACCACTGGCTCATGATCAAGCGCCGTCTCCGCAGCACAGAGAACTCCCCCCGACCCACCGGCAAGAGGATCGATATGGGTGGGCACGCTGAGCCACGGCGACGAAGCTCTCAGCATGAGCAAGTAGCACCAGCACCCACAAGGAAGTACAACGGATGGAAGAAACACCACACCCACAGCCAGCTCACCAACACAGCTCTCCCTCTTTCGACAGGCCATCACACAAACCCGTTCGACCACGCTATGTGATGTGTCATGTGGTGTCATGTGGCGAGCGACCGCAGCCAGACGACCACCCTTCCCTCCTGCTTGGGAGGGGGCAGGTCAGCCAGGAACCTGGCACGGGCCGACACACCACCACCCTGAGTCCCACACAACACCTGCCCTCGACACAACCTGCAGACAGACAGACAGACAGAGACATGGCGCAAGGAGACAGAGAAACGTCTGTGTCAATGAGGTGCTTGCTGACCAGAGTGCCTTGCGCACTGCGTTGGGGTGCTGGAGTGTGTGCTGGACCTCCTGGCCCTCCAGCGGCACCGCCAGCTGAGTGCACACCGACCGCAGGATCTCCTCGTCGGTCGCGCGGAAGCGGGCGCCCCGTGTGCTGTTGATGGCCTCTATCACACCTATCACCTCACCCTTTAACACACACACACGGACACACGGACACCAGAGCCCATCCATCCATCCATCCATCTCTCTATCTCCCATCTCTCTGTCTCACGGACCGTCGTGCTGATGATTGGTGCTGCCATGACTTGCTTCGGCGCCGCGAGCACCCGCGAGCCCTCCTCCTTGCCGCCGCGCTCACCCACCTTTTCGCCAGCCACCTTGGTTTTCTTCTTGTCCTCCTTGGGGGCTTCGACGATCGAGTCGGGGAGGGGCGCGGCGGCGCTGCGGATGGGTGTGGGAGCTGTCGGGGGCGGGGAGGGTGGGGGCATGTCCTGCTTGCGCATGATGCGGGGATAGGACTTCCACTGGGCGGCCTTCTTGCCGTCGATGTTGATCAACTGACACACACGCACACACACAGCGGGGCTGAGGTGTGTCTGTCTCCCTCTGTGCGTGAGTGTGTGTGTGGCGTCGCTCACTCACCTTTTTCTTTTCGATGACGACCCCCAGGCCCTCCTTTCTGTCGACATCCGACAGCTGTATCCTGATGAGGTCGTCGTCCTTCTGCCCATTCCCGCCACACACCGACGGGAACAAAGCCGCCAACACCGACCTCCCCTCCTCACCATTGCCCCCAGTGCTGCTCGCCATGGTGTCCGCCGCCGACACGTGGTCAGGCTGGTGAAGCCGGGGCTGGTACTTGGTCTGCAGCTCCTCGAGGGCGGTAGAGATGAGATATAGAGTGGCCTGCTCCACCTCTAGGACGCCGCGCAGCTCCTCCTCGACAATGTCGAAGAGCTGGTGGGTCTGGTCCTCCACCCGCCGTCGCTCGGCGGTCTCGGTGTCCATAATGAGAAGGGGGAACATGCCCACGAGACAGCCGATGGTTACCCCGACCGCACTGCCGCCATTCGACCTGGTGACAGACAACGACAGACAGGGGACATCGGTGTCAATTCTGCCACCATTGGTGTGGCGGTTGGTTCGGCTACACACCAGATAGTGGTGATGGTTCGCTTCATTTGGCTGGTGTTGAGGTTGTGTTGGGGGATGCCGATCCGCTTGCCCATGTCCTCGATGAAACCCCCGATCCACACACCCAGGATGTCACTCACCGTGTTGCCGATGCCCGCTGCAGCAAGAGTCGACAAACCCAACACCACACACAGAGTCGTGTCAATCTGCACACACACACACACACACACACACACAGACAGAGAGAGAGAGAGAGAGAGAGAGAGAGAGCGTGCGAGAATTGCAGACGTGTGTGTGGGGTGGGTCAAGTTGTCTGCCGACTCACCAGGTCGCCGGCAATGATCATGATGAAGTTGTCACAGAAACCGAACCCGATAAATGCCACACACGAGGACAGCGCCACCAGGCTCAGCTGCCGGTTGGAGGGCTTCGGCACGTACGCAGACTCGTTCTGCACCGCCTCGCACAAACGCTCCAGGGAGCGCCTGACCACACCACACCACACCATCCCAGACAGACCACAGATCAATCAACAACCACACCGCGGTGTGTGCAAAGCCTCTGATCTGCCTCTCCGCCTCTCTCACTGACTTGTCCATGAGTTTGGCGCATCGCTCGGCCACCGACTGATCTGTGGCGATGACGGCACTCATCTTCCGCAGAATCGCACCGCCGCGCCTGCTCGGGTCATCATCCGACCGGCCGCCCTTGACGCCTGTCTGCTCGTCGCCCCGCTCGTCGCTGCCGCGGGGGCTGTGCAGGCGGCGGGAGAGGGAGCAGGTGAGTCTCCTGTGGTGGGGATGGGGACAGGGAGGGACGGGAGGGGCGGAGAGGCGCCTTGTGGGGAGGCGCAAAGCGGCTTTGAAGGCACTTAGCATCTCAACATACAAACCGGTAAGCAAGGAGGAAAATAGGTAACAGCAGGGTTTCGGGTTCCAGGGTTTGGAACCCTAGCCCTGAAACCCTGATAACAACCGTTTCTGAGGTTGGGCATCAATCTTTCGACCAGCCAGCTCAGTGAGTCAGTCAGTGAGTCAGTCAGTGAGTCAGTCACTCAGCCGGTCAAGGGCCCTCTTGGCGAGAAGCGCAGCGCCATATGCAGAGTCCGTGTGCTCCGACCTGATCACAGGCACCCCCAGCATCCGCTCTCGCATCCGCCGCCACACGTCGTTCTGCGCCCCGCCGCCAGCAGTGAAGACACGCCGCACCGCTGCCTTTGGCGCGCCGCCCAGTTTCTTCAGCTTCGCGTAGCCCGCCACTTCCACTGAGGCAATGCCCTGTACACGTGAGCGGATGGAGGATGGGTGGGTTCATTTAATTATTGTGTGGCGTTCGACGTGTTGCTTGCCTGGAGGATGCCGTGGAGGTACTCCTTCCTGGTGCCTGGTTTTGGCTGCAGGCGGCCCACACGATGGGGATCGTTGAACGGGAATCGCTCGCCAACACCTGCAGAGACACGTACAGCAGAGCTGTGGTGGAGTCCTCTGTGTGTGTGGCCGTGTACCTACTACCTCTCATGGGGTAGTAGTCGAGGGGCGAGTCGGTTTCGGGGTCGATCTGTGCAGAGAGCTGTCTCAGCTCATCGTCTGAAAAGCCCTCGTCCACCAACACAGCGCATCCCACGTTGCTCGCACCGCCAGCCAGGAAGCACCGATCGGTGGTCGTTGGATCGCTGCTGCTCCTATCGCCAGGCGGCAACACGGACAGGGGAATCCTGTGGCTGGAACACACACACGAACGGTCGGCATTCAGTCTGTGTGTGCCGCACTCACCTCACTCACCTGTATACGCCGGCCTGTGCGTCCTCGACAGGGTCAGGTGTGAGCAGCTTGATGGCCAAGGTGCTGCCCAGGGTCGTCACCGCATCCCCAACGCGACTCGCCCCTGCACACATACACACACGAACACACCTCCCTGCCAGTCAAAGACACGCAAAGACACCCACACACCTACCAGCAGCAAGAAAGGCCGCGATGCTGTCAGTAGTGCCGCTGACCACCCTGCAGTCGGCAGGCAGAGACCACTGCTCGACTCTGCCCGCCGCCACATGGCCCAACACCTCGCCCGGCGCCACCACAGGAGGGAGGGCATCAAAGAGGCTCTCGAGTGTGGCCCTCATTGAAGGATCTGCGGCTGTCCGATGCCCCTTCAGCCAGGGAGGGTAGCTGAGAGTCTCGCAGTCATAGCCTGGCAAGACGGCCGGCAGGCAGACAGACAGAAAGGATGTGTGTGTCTTGTCTGTTTGGCTGGGTTGGTTCTTTCTTGCCGTGTAGCCGCCCAGCCCACCGATTTTCAAGGCGTTGTTCCAATCCGTGACGACCTCCATCGGCCCGCCCTCCTCAGAGCTCCGAAGATACGCCAAGACAAAGTCACACTGATGAGCTATCCTGCTCAAAACACAAACACACAAACAAACACACCATTGATCTCATTTGCGGCCCCCTGACCTCCCTCCCTCCCTCCCTCTCTTATCTATCTATTCCTTCGTCATACCGACTTTTCGTCGGCGTCGAGCGGTCTCTCCAGCAGCCATGTGAGGCACTTGACGAAGCTCGAGGTGGGGGAGCAGGCGGGGCTGCCGGGGGGGCTGACGGCCTTGGCCATCGCCCATGCACGCGGGCCTTCTGCTGGCGCCTCATCCTCATCCTCATCCAGTGCACTCCAATTATACAAACGGCACCCTCTGCAAGTGGGAAAACCGGGAGAGAGAGATGGGTGCGTCCGTGTTGGTATGTCTGTCTCTTGGGCTTGTTTTGTTTGATCTGACCGACCTGGTGACTTTGCCGGTGGTGGTGTCCACCAGGAGCACCGTGGCCGATGTGCCATCGACAGCTATCGCCCGCATGGATCGCCTCATCTCTACCGGCACGGCAGCCATCAGGCGGTGCAGCCCCGCCAGCCACAAAGACGGGTCGGCGGCAAGCGCACCGTCCGTGTGGGGTTGACGCGTAGGTGTGGATGATGAGGCAGAGGCAGCCAGCTGGTGCCACCTGACGCTGTCGCTGAAAAGCTCACGCTCATCCCCGTCAATCACACTGATGCGACACCCACTCGTACCTTAATGAATGGACACGGCACACATGCACACACACGTGTGTGGCCGCATAATGATTGTGTGTGGTGTGGGTCTTGTGTGTGTCCGTCCATGGCCAGACCATCTTAGCTCACCGAAGTCGATGCCAGCAAACACGCACTCGGTCTCATGATGTATTTTCTGCACGTCACTCGTCATCCATTGCAGAGTCCGCCGTCTTTGAAACACGCCGCCCCGAGTGCACGGCAGGAAAGTGGCGCATACAGATCCGCGGCGCGAGGGAGGCGGGGCCGACGAGGCCGTGAGGAGCAATGCACTGATGATGCTGACGATAAGAGCGGTCAGGCAGGGCAGAGCTCGAGGGACGATCTCCGTGCGTGTTGGAGCATCATCACAGCAGGATCGAACACACATCCTGATGAACGAATAGATCAGCTTGCCCACAGCATCTGGAGCGTATTGGGCATCGCTACACAGCTGTCAGGTGAGTTGACACTAGAGGGTTTGCAAGCTCAAGGGAGGGCGACACAAAACATTGCGTCATCCGGTTCCGCGCGTCGTGTTGGTTGTGGTACGACACCCATGCACCGAAACAAAGAGATGCACACAAAGCAACCATCGCTGTGGCCGCATGTGCCAATCAGGTCTGACACGAGGGTCGGATTCATCTGAGCAACGAGCCTTACCCCCGATGGGCAACACACCTTCAGGCTGCACCAAGAAGTCCGCAGAGGCCGCCGTGCCGGCTCTGCCAACGACAGTCCAAGAGACCGAAGCAGAAATCAAAGAGGTCAGCCGACAGCCAGAAACAACCAAAGACGGTCCCCCTTCACACCCACCTGTCTGTCTGTCTGTCTTTGTGTGTGTGTGTGTGTGTGTGTGTGTGCCTGTGTCGTGTGTTGTGTGTGGTTCAATCACTCTCTCATTCAGTGTAAGAACTACATCGGTCTGCTGCGGGTGGCCGAGCACGACGAGACCGAGTTTGAAAGGGAGGTGGAGGAGAAGATCGAACGAACCGGTCAGTCAGTCAGTCAGTCGCCCGTCCACAGACAACACACCACACATCCTTCCCCCCCTGTCTCCCTCTGTTGTCATGTGTCAAGAGTCATTTGAGCAGCGCACCAACCTGGCTGAGGTGGTGCGCCAGGCTGAGGAGTCGCATGGAACCGTCATTTCTTTCATCAAGGCCAAGGAGGAGCGGCAGAAGCAGCTGGAGCAGCACCTCGAGGCACTGCGCAAGCTGCAGCCGACCGGTGAGACGACCGACACGGGAGGCAGCCAGATGTGATGACGCACTCACACAAAGACAGAGTGACACGGCTCAGTGTGTGTGTGTGTGTGTGATGACTGCAGCACAAGACAAGGGCGAGCAACAGAATGGTATCCCCAGCGAGCCAAAAGCCGTTGTCGCGTGACTGACTGACTGACTGACTGACTTGACGGTCCGTACGCGTCCATGGACAGACAGACAGACAGACAGGCAGACGGGCGCACAACAACACGATGCTCACCCGCTCTTGGTGTTGGTTGGTTGCCTCAGATGTTCGTCGCGTCACGTCAGTCAGGTCGAGGGGCGGCGAGCTGCTTGCGGTTAGTCTCTGCTTGCGAGGCGTGGCGTGGCGAGGCCGTTGTATTTTTCCGGGAGAGGATCTTTGGCTGGCTGGCTGGCTAACTCGGACAGCTGGGGGCATACCGTGCCGTGCGTTGGGTGGCTGGGGAGGGGCATGACATGGCATGTGAGGGTGGGCAGGTATGTATGTGGTCTGTGTGTGTCTGATCTGATCTAGGCAGGCTGGGCTGGGCTGCAGTTGTCGTGTGTATTTGTTTGTCACTGCCTGGACGGACGGACGGACGGACGGACGGACACTCTTACGGCTGTTTTCTGTATTCGCTCCCGTCATTTGTCAAGTGCGGTGGATTGGATTGGATTGGCTGCCTGACTCTACCTCTACCTCTATATCTGACTGACTGGCTGCCTGCTGCAGTGGGGAAGACAGAAAAGATGGGCGGACGGACTGTGTTGCTGACCAGATACTGACTGACGTGCCTTGAGGGATGGAGGGGTGTGTCACAGATAGAGGGGCCGCAGGGCCGCACGTGTAGGGGGAGAGAGACCGATCGAGCGACAGAGGGCGAACGGGGAATGGAGGATGAATGGATTCAAGTGTGCATTAAGTCCGACACCGTCACGAAACAATGACGCACAATACCCGTCAGCCAATCATCATCGCTCAACACACTTATCAATCATCGCAATCCAATAAAGGCTTAGGCATTTGAATAAATCTTCATTGTGACTGGGCCGACCCTCGACAGCTCCTAATGTCGAAGGCGAGAATATCGATAGCCCCACAGTCTGCCAATCGGTCCATCACGTCCATGAGCTCGGACTTCTTGACCATCGCGCTGATAGCAAACCAACCCTCCTCCTCCAGGTTCGTCACATTGGGCGACCGCCGCCCTGGGGTGATGGCGATGGCCGCGGCCTTGTTGGCGGCGTGCACGTTGTACGACACCATCGAGTACTGCTGAGCGTCGAGGAACCCCTGCATGCGCTTCTTGAGCCGGTCGACGATGGCAGGATGGCCGCAGCTCTTGTTGGCGATGAGGACACACTGAGTGCGGAGAATGACGTCAAGCTTCTCCAGCCCGGCGGCATCCATGGTCGCACCGGTCTCCACCAAGTCGACGACAGCGTCACCGAGGCCCATGGTACAGCTGACCTCCACAGACCCCCCCACCGCCACCACTGTCGTGTCCTCAGTCCGCCCTTTGCTTGCGGCAAGTTCCTTGAAGAACTGCGCGGTCAGGTTGGGGAAAGAGGTGACGATCTTCTTGCCGATGAGGTCAGCCGCAGACGCGTACTGGCCCTTTGGGGCCTGCACGGCCAGCTGACACTTGCCGAAGCCGAGCTCCAGCAGCTGTGTCACATCGACAGACTCCTCCCTGATGACGTCCTGGCCTGTGATGCCGATGTCCACATTCCCCTCGCCGACAAATTTGGGTATGTCAGCTGCGGGCAGGAAGACCAGGGTGATGGGGATGTTGTCACAGTGGGCGATGTCCAGCCGCTCAGCACGCTCGCACTCGAGGCCACATCCTTGAAGCAGCTTCATGCACCGCTCGTGCAGCCTTCCCTTCTTCGGAACTGCCAGCAGGCATCGCTCATCCCTGGAAGTGGAGGACATTCTCGGGAGGGGGGTAGGATCTTCGTTTCTTCGCCCCATGTGACGCGTTTCACGGCGAGCCGAGCTCACCGCTGGCGGACAAGGCGGAGGGCACCCAGGTGCCCGCAGGGCCGCAGGCAGGTCGGTGAGCGTGTGATGGACGTAGCTGAGGACGGCATCGCCCTCGACAGCGGGCCCATGGCGTCGCCCGCAGCAGAGGTGGACGTGATGCAGGACGATGCTTCCATGAAGGGCCGCCAACTGCAGGGGGATGGTGATGGTGATGGTGATGAGGAGATGGGGGATGGGGGCGAGGCGAACGACGAAGGCCGGGAGGAGGCGCCTGCTGCTGCTGCTGCTGCGGTAAGCAGGGAGGGAGGGAGGGATGGATGCACACCAGGGACAGAGAGGACAGAGATGGGGAGGGATGCATGGGAGATCCCATGGATGGATGGATAGATGGATGGATGGATGGATGGATGTGATTGTTGTGGCATGGTGTCCATGGTGCGGTGTCTTGGTCCAACAGGCAGCAGCAGCGGCGGCCAGTAGCAGTGGTGGCGGTGGGAGCGTCGAGTGCGAGTACGACTTCACGGCGCTTCGCCGGGCCGACCAGAAGAGGGCCATGAGCACCGACAACTCCACCTACGCCAAGCAGCGGGACTTCGCTATGGAGACCTTCTTCCGGTGGGTGAGAAGGGGACACACACAGACAGAAAGAGGGAGGGAGGGAGGGGGGGATCTTGCAGACAGACGTGTCTGTGTGCGCGTGCAGTGAGCATTGGCGCGAGTTGCAGGAATATGGGCCGAACACCAAGATCATCATGTCACAGCTAGACAGTAAGCTAAGCTACACACCACCCCGCCCCGCCACCACACATACGCACTCACACACACACACACACTCTCACTCCCATGTGTGTGTGTGTGTCCCCGTGTGTGTGTGGTGCAGATTGTAGGTTTGGCACTGGTATAGTCAAGTTGCGGATGCGCGAGGACCCCCCCAACTACACCCTGCCCTACCCCGACGAGACCTTCTGGATCATCTTCCTCACTCGCGTCAAGCAGACCATCGACAAGGACAAGGAGGACAAGGAGGCCAAGAAGGTCAAGGCGGCTGTCATCCAAAGTAGCGAATCCTCTAGCATGTAAGCCTGCCAGGGTGAAGGTGAGTTGTGTGATGTGCCGTGTTGTGTTGTGTTGTGTGCTGTGCAGGTCGTTTGGCGATTTGAGGGGCGTCAAGTACGACGACGTCTACTACCCCGAGAGCAACCGGCTGCTGTGGTATGTGTGTGGGGTGGGGGTGGGGGGTGAGATGCGCACACACACGTGTGTGTGTGTGTGTGTGGTGTGTGATGTGGCTGCAGGTTCACGCAGAACAGCGACCACACGCACGCCAAGATCTGTCAGTGTCCATCAGCACACGACACATAGCCACACCCGCACAGCCCCTCTTGTGTGCGTGTGTGTGTGTGTGTGTGGTGCAGCGGCCATCCGCAACGACGTCATGGCCCGCTGCTACAACCCCAACTGCAACGAGCCCAAGATCTACCTCACTGTCAAGGACAGCCAGACGGGGAACTACATCAACCTTGGTAGGGAGCACCCCCCCTCTCACACACACACACACACACATGAATCATCCATCCATCCATCCATGTGTTTGTGTGTCGGCCGACCGATTGATGCAGGCACAGCGACCAATATGGAGATCGAGGAGTTCTCGGCCCCGCTCGTCAACACGGGCGAGACGGTTTTGGACTGCCCCGAGCTGGCCCAGCTGGGCGGGAGGTTGGGCGACCTAGGCAAGAAGCTGCACAGGCCCGACCCCAGCGACCCATCGCAGCCCCGATGCCCCGAGGCAGCACAGGAGGCAAAGAAGAGGGGCTTCACGTAAGGCAGAGACGTCACTGATCATTGGGGGGGTCTCAATGTGTCCGTATCTCTTTCTCGGTGCGTGTGTGTGTGTGTGTGGTTGGTGTGATCGTAGGTGGCGCAAGCACGTGTATGCGGGCGTCGTTTACGAGGACATCCGCCGGGTGCGGGCTGAGAAGGGCATCCAGGTCGAGATCCCCGCCAGCCATTTCGCCAAGAAGCCCGGCCACAAGCACGACTGCAAGAATCTCTGCCACGCGTGCGGATGGCAGATAGGTACCCACACCCCCACACACTCACACACCCATACCCCCTCCCGCCCCTCACACATCTCTCTCTCTCTCTCTCTCTCCCTCCGTGTGTGTGTGTGTGTGTGTCTGGCAGCCACTGCCAGGATAGATTTGCAGCGTCTGTATCGTGTGCGTGCGGCCGAGTTCCTGTCGGGCCGGCACACCGACGGCAACGATGATGACAGCGACGATGACGATGACGAGATGGACGATGATGACGATGACGAGGAGGAGGAGGGTATGCCATCCCACATAACACACATCACACGCCACCACCACCACCACCACCCACATGACACACCAACAGGCATTGTGGCTGTCTCATATCTTTGTCTCTCCCTTCTGTGTGTGTGTGTGTGTATGTGTGCAGATGGTGATGTTGACGGGAGTGCCAGTAGCGTTAGCGGTAGCAGCGGCAAGGCCAAGAAGAAGGTCAAGAAGGACCTTAAGGCAAAGGCCAGGGCCAAGGCCAGCAAGGGCGGCAAGGGCAAGGGCAAGAGCAAGGACGAAGTGGTCAGCCACACAGCCACACCCATCCACCCACCCACCCTTCCTATGCTTGGATATCTATCTCTCTCTCTCCCTCTCTCTCTCTGTCGTGTGTGTGTGTGCGAATGTCAGGGCGGCAAGTCGGTGAAGAAGACCAACACCAAGGCCGACAAGTCCAAGCCCAAGTCCAAAGCCAAAGCCAAAGCGAAGAGCGGCGGCAAGGGCGGCGGCAAGAAGGGCAAGGACGCCGACCGTCCCAAGAACCAGCCCACACTCGAGGCCTTCTTCGGATCTGCCAAATCAAAACGGGTCAGCCCTACAACCAACCACACCCCAACCGCCACCGACACACACAAATTTCGCCTCCGTCTGTTTCTGCGTGTGTGGATGGATGTATGGATGGATGGACGGATGGATGGATGGATGGATCATGCAGTCAGCGGCGGTCAAGGCGAGCGAGAAGATCACCGAGTCCAAGAAGGTGGAGGACACGCCCGTCCAGGACCACGAGGACGAGGACGACGGGCCGAAACCCATGGACGTCGACACGCGCCCTGCTGCCGCCGCAGCTGCTGCTGCTGCCTCGTCCGGCGCGCGGGAGGGCGACAGTGAGGGTGACGACGAGGAGTGGGAGGGCCAGGAGGGCGACGAGGGAGACGACGACGAGGAGGCCGATGAGGGAGAGGAGGAGGAAGAGGAGTAGTAGTGTAGAAATGACGGGCAGACAGACGTGCAGCAGACAGGGAGGGAGGGAGGGAGGGGCGGTGGTAGACACACTCGAAGCATCCATGCCATTGCATATACATGGCCCTGCATCGATGGATGGATGAATGAATGGATGGATGGACACACGAATGTGGTGTTGTGGCAGGCTGGCTGGCTGGGTGGATGTGCGGGAGGGAGCGTGTGTGGTTGGATTGGTGTGGCACATGTCATGTACAGCTAGCTCGTGACCTTGTGACTGGCTGACGGATGTAGAGGTGCATGGAATGGATGCATGCTCGACTGATTCACCCGTACGTCAGACATAGAATCTTGAATCCGTGAATGAGAGGGCCTCTCGGTGTCCTACCAGAAGCTTAAACAAACACGCACTAATAACACACACATGTGTCCGTACGCACCAGCCTCTCTCCTCCTTGTGCGGCACCAGCCACACTGTCTCACCCACGGCGCACCGCATGTGGACACACCTGACACACAGACACAGAGGGCATCCCACTTTGGGTTGCGTCGGCCGCCATTATTCCTGTTGCCAACGGTGGATCCCAGAAATAGTATGCGCGTTTTTTTTTCACGACTTCCGCGCGTGCAGACGAGGGCAAAAGGCGGCGGCCACCCTCTGATGTGATATTTCAACCCAACCGAAGGCCGGCCGGGGCGTCATCTGCGGCGGTGAATCAGCGAGCGATGTTGGCCCTCTCGCCGAGGGCCCTTCTGTCGCTGGTCGCCCTCCATGTGCTGATTGTGCACGCACAGGTGGACCTGGCGCCCAAAGCAGGTGAGAAAAACAAGGCCACAAGGCCACAACAATCGCAGGACTGACGCTTCCTTTCCCTCTTCTGCAGAGCGGTCATTTAGGTGCCCTCCGAAGCTTGACGCCCTCCTGTGTGACGTCCAGCGGCTGTTCGATGGCCAGAGGGCGCCCCGCTCGCCCAAAGCCGTCCCACCCATCTACTCAGTCCCGGTCAGGCCGCCAGGCCAACAGCCGCTGGAGAGGGGTGGAAACCGGACAGCAGTCATCGGCTTCATCAACAGCGTCGTAGGCAGCCTGCTGACCGAGAACTCCATCTATGTGGACATCAGCACTGCCAGGGACGCCGACATGTTCGGCATCATGCGGCGGCTCCGCGGACTGGGGATGGTGCGGCTGACGTCGTATCGGCACATGATAGGGGGGTTCCTGCCTTACGAGGGCATCGAGGATGCCAGGCTGATCGAGGGCATCAAGCTCATCAGCGCGACGCAGAAGGAGAGGGAGCAGATGCGCCCAATGGCGTCCGAATATGAGACGTACAAGCACGGAAAGACTGGCGCGTCACCGATGCAGCTTGAGAATGTGGGGAGGGGCGCGGCGACCAGCCAGGCCATCTTCGTCCACAACATGGACCAGCTGCTCGAATCCTTTGACATCGACCAGTCGGGATTCAGCTGCGTCGGCGTACTCGCGGACTCGTAAGCACACCCACACTGCACCCACCCATCCATCCTGTCTCTGTGTGTCCCTGTGGTGTGGTGGGCGTGGATCCATCAGATTTGACTTTGTCGAGGGTAAGGGCGTGCGGGAGGCCGGTGAGATTCCCGACGACGCCTTCGAAGGCGAGATGCTGGTACAGGGTGTGATCAATTTGCGTGACGGCGAGCCGTTTGGGTCGCGGGACGCGTCCACCCTCAACGACGAGGGGTCCGGCATGATAGAGCTGATTGCCGACTTGCTGCCCGAGATGCCCTTGTACGCCTTCCACACCGCTGTCTTGGGTCAGTGGAAGGGACAGACAGAGGGAAGAGAGAAAGACGGACGGCACAGACATGCCTCTGTGTGTATGTTGGAGGTGGTTCTGGGTGGTGCAGGCCAGGCCGACTTCGCGAACGGCATCCTCCGGCTGCGGCGCGAAGCTGGCTGCAACACACTGGTCGATGACGTCAAATACTTCTTTGAGTAAGTGCCGACGGCAGGTGTGGGTCCAATAATGACCACAATATCTGCGTGTGTGTGTGGTGTGTGTCAGGCCATGGTATCAGGACGGCATCATCGCCCAGGCAATCGAGGAAGTCACCGAAGACGGGGCGCTCTATTTCGTATCGGTACGCACCCACCCACACCTACCCTCTTACACACATCACAAACATCACTCCCTCACTCCACCTCACCCACACACGCAGGCGGGCAACAGCGGGAATTCCGGTCTAGAGGGCAGCTACAGCAGGACCGACGTGCCCACGAACATCAACAACTTCCTGCTGGCCAACTTCGACATCCAATACGAGGGCGCCCATGATTGGAACGAGGGCAGTGATGAGCCCCTCCAAGACACCGACTGTCCCGGGCAGGAGGACGGCGAGACTGCCTGCCCCTTCTTCAGGATCGCTCTGCCCCCTTCGCGTTCGCTGCGTGTCGTCCTTCACTGGGCGCAGACGTACGCGTCGGCAAGTGCCGAGTCCCCCGGTGCCACAAGCGACTTTGCCGTCCTTATATTTGACCGAGACGGCATCGATGAGGGGAAGCCTCTCGTCTTCAGTGACACGAGCAACATCGCTGGCGACCCTGCGGAGGCGGCAGTGTGGACCAACGACAAGGATGAGATGGTTGAGGTGTTCGTCATGGTGGCGCGGTTCCCCACGGGCGATGAGTTTAACGGCGGGCGGTTCAACATTATTACACGAGGATGGGCACTGTCGGTGAGCGAGTGCATGGCTGGATGGATGGATGGCCGTATGCGTTGCTTCCTGCGACTGTCAGGACTATACGGGCGGTCTTGTGGACGAGACCTTCGGCGGGCCGACGTCGTGGGGCCACGCCCTGGCACCGAATGCCGTACCGGTCGCTGCCGCCGACTACCGTGAGACGCCGCGTTTCGGCAGCATCCCGGCCCTTCCCCAGGCCTATGTTGGCGGCGAAGGGCTGGCCATCCTCTTCAATCCGGAAGGGGTCCGGCTGCCCTCGCCCGACACCCGATCGGGCCGGCGCGTGACTGCAGCGGATGGTATGTTGCGTGTGTGTACAGATGATGGGTGGATGGGGGCGGGAAGACGTGGATGGGCTTGTTCCATGTGTGTGTCTGGTTGACTCAGGTTGCAACACGTTGGCCTTCCCGCTTCGATGTCCAGAAGAAGGAAGCTGCCGCGATGACGCGGAAGGAGACGGATTCCCGAACTTCTTCGGTCAGTCAGTCACACTTGACTTGATGTGTGTATGTGGATGGATGTGCCTCGGTGTTGGTGGTATCCTCCTTCCCCAGGCACGTCAGCGGCGGCCCCCAATGCGGCGGCGATAGCTCACCTCTTGAAGGAGGTGTTCACCGACAGGTCCAACGGCGACATCCTGCAGGCTCTATTCGACACCGCACGACGCATGCCAAGTAAGGGAGCCAGCGACGCCCACACAGAGTGCATGGATGGATACTATGTGTGTGTCATCTGTGTGTATGCTGAAATGCAACAGCCTGGTTCAGCCGGCAGGGGTCCATTCCTCCCACAAGTGGCTACAGCATCCAGACCGGCCATGGCCTCATCAATGCGCTGCTGGCATTTGAGCTGCTGGTCTCCCAAGAGCCCATCGAAATACCACCAGAAGCACCATCAGAAGGGCCACCAGAAACGCCACCAGAAGCACCAGAGGATCCCGGGGATGGAGACGAAGATCGGAGCAGCACCACACCGACGCCGACTGAAGGCGAGCCCCCTGGCGATGATGGCGACACGGACACGAGCACCACCCCTCTCCCCACAAGCACCACCCCTCTCCCCACAAGCACCACCCCTCTCCCCACAGAGGGTATCGACGAGATCCCCGAGTGCTTCGCCGTCGTGCAGGGCCCGGAGGGGAGGTACGCCATCGGCGACCTCTACCCGGAGCTTCGCGGCGAGCGGATCGAGGGGTGCGCCTTCCTCGACGAAGCCGCGCCGCAGGCGGGCAAGTTCCTGCACCAGCTGCGGACCGCCGTCTCCGTCAAGTGCGAGAAGAACAAGGACATTGTGTACAAGTGCTTCAGTCGGGGCATGGCGCACTCATTTGAGGTCACATTTGACGTGGCCATCCGCAAATCACGGAAACGGGAGATGGAGGACGCTGGGGGTGGGGATGCGGTGGCTCTGTGGGAGACGAAGGAGAAGAGATGCGCGTTGGAAATCATATGCTGATAGAGACACACACATCAGACGGGTGGGGGTTGTGGGTGCTGTGTGGTGGGGTGGGATCGGTAGGTGGGTACGTCTTTGATTGGCTGTGGCATGGCTGCTGGGTTGCCGTGTGGCCTCTGGTGTGTGGCGCGATGGGCCTTAGTTGCTGTCTGGCTGGCCGGCTGGGTGTGTGGCTGTCACAGTTACAGTGGTGTTTGTGATTCATTCGTCCATGTCAGCATGTCAGCATGTCAGCATGATGCGTGTGGTGTGTGGTGTGGGTGTCAGTTGTCAGTTCGCCTATACCAATGAAGGTGCATGCATGGATGGATGGATGGATGGGTGGGTGGATGGGTCCTGTGCGTGCATCTGTGAGTGCGCGCCTGCGTGAAGCAGGCAATAATCTAACGAAAGAGCCTCACAGATTGCTACTGTCTGTCTGTCGTTCTTTTTGTCATGTTTTCTGCTCGGGGTGTGTCGGTGTGTCGGTGTGTTTGAATGTCGATTGCCGTCTGGTGCTGCGTGTTGTTGGGCGGTGTGCACACGCCGATCTATTCATTCAGATAATTCCACACACACATACGTACACATCGTATACACACGTTCACACACGTCCATATATTCATGTGTACATCCAAAGGCAGCATTTCAGTTCCCTCAAAGATGCAGGAGCCATGGGATCGATCAGGCAGGCAGACCTTCAGGCAGACATTCACACACACACACGTTTCATTTTTTCGTTGTATCTATCCGTGGCCGGTGAGCTGTCTTGTGTTTTTCCCTCTCTACCTCTGTATGCTTTTTTTGCGACCAATGAGACGCAGCACGAGAGTCTGTCGTCGTCCAGTTCTTTTGTTTCCTTTACGTTTAGATGACCGCTGCGTGGGAACGGACGGATCGGTGCTCATCCAACCATCCATGGCACTCACTGCATACGCTCACACATGCGTACATACGCTTACACGTGCGTGTCGCTCTTCGATTTTGTTCTTACTCTTTGCTGTTTGAATGATCCGTGCTACGTGCCTGCCTCGGTTCGGTCTCGGTGTTTGCAACTTTGCGTTTGTGTTTGCGCTTGTCTGTCTTTGGCGGTGCGTGCAGCTGGCTGATTTGTTGGTTTGCTGCTTTGGTGGCTCGTTGGGGCTTCAGGAGATTTGGGGCATTTTGTGGTGGGCGTGTGCAGGTTTGTTGTAATTCGCTCACTTTGGCAAGGTTGGTTGGTTGGCTGACGTAGGAAGACACGCAGGCATTTTGCAATAACGGACTTCGTCCATCCGTCCTTCTAGTCTCGGTTCGTCCATCCGTCCGTGCATGAATGCTGCATGTGATGCGTGTGTGTGTGCTGTATATGAAGGTAGTGTAACGTACGTACATTTACACTGCATACGTATACGTGTGTATGTTTTGTATGTGTACATACATGCATGTGATGGTTCGATCCACCGATTGATCGCATTTAATCTATCATTGCTTGGTTGTTTGATTCATCCGATGAAGGGAAGGGCAAGGGAGGGAGTCACGGTCTTCCTACACACAGGTCGGGGAATGAGTGAGTGAGTGAGTGAATGAGTCAGTCTCTCTCCCCCGCACACCCCCTAGTCAGTGAGTGAATGAATAAGACACAGAGACAGACAGACAGACAGACAGCCCGTCGATGGCGAGGTGACGTCAGGTTTGATAAGCAAAATGCATGACGTGGTGTCTCTGACTGCATATGTCATGTGATGTGCGGCTTCCCATCCATGGAGGAGCGAGTGGGAAAAAACGCGCACACACATGGAGTTTTCTGTCGCGTGGATGTCTATGCATGTATGTATGTATGTGTGTATGTAGTGTGACGTGAGTAAGTGAGTGGATGAACGATTAATGCTGCCGCGCTGCTGGTCGGTAGGTAGGTAGGTTAAGCATACCGTAGTTTAGGGGGACTGGTAGGGGGCGCCGCGCCAATTCACTCGCTCACACGCCCACCATGCCGGCACACCATATATAACCATACGTACACACATACATACACACATGAATATGTATGTATTGTATGTACAAAGCTGTCCGTGTGTACACGTGTGTGTATGCTATGCGTGTATGTACATGTGTTGATTGGATTGCGTACGGACTGAGCGAGGGGGTGAGTGAGTGGGTGGGTGGGTGAGTGAGTGAGTGGGTGAGAGAGAGGGCACCATGCACTGGCATGCATGTGATGTGCAGCAAGTGCAGTGAGTGCAGTGCAGTGCGTGCAGCCGCCACACAGTCAGGTCGCCCGCCTATTTGTTGTTTTATAACGGCGGCGTGCCGTGCCGTGCCATGTGTGCGCCTCGTGTGTGTATGCATTGCAATGCATGTGTGTGCACTGCGTGTGTCCATGTGTACGTGTGTGTGTGTGGGTGGGTGGGTGAGCGTGTACGCGTGGTTGGCGTTCATTTGACACCTGTTGCATCCCTTAGTCAATTTGCAAGTAACATTTGGCCAGCCACACTCCCAGCTCATTATCTAGTCTCCACCTAGTCTCCTTCCTGCTCTACACGCAATCCATGTAGGCGTCTCATCTCTCTCGCGCTTGCAAAAAGACCAACACAAAAGACCTCGATGCTCTTGCCAGGCCAGCACAAGAATCTTCACTTGGCAAGTGCAAAGGTGAACTCCTTGACCTCCACGGCCTTCTGCCCGTCCACATATCCCGCACCCGTCATCTTAGCTATCCCGAACTTGGCCCGCCACGACAGCAGCTCCATCTCCATCACAAGCACATCGCCAGGCACCACCGGCCGCTTCCACCGCACCCCATCCACACCAGCAAAGAAAAAGTCCCCCTTGCCGTCGCTCAGCGGCTCCTGCAGGCACACCAGCCCGCCCAGCTGCGCCATGGCCTCGATCTGCAGCACGCCGGGCATGATGGCTCGCTCCGGGAAGTGGCCGGTGAACTGCGGCTCGTTGGCCGAGATGGTCTTGACGCCCACGGCGCGCTTGCCGGGCTCGAACTCGATGACTTTGTCCACAAGCAGGAAGGGGTAGCGGTGCGGGAGCACCTTACGGATGGCCTCGATGTCCATCACCACGGGTACGTCGCTGGTCAGCTCACTCACCGATGCTGCGCTGCGCCATGGTGCCTCTGCGGCTGCTGTTTCAGCCGTGTCTGCTGTTTCGGTTGCTGTGGACCATCTACTCGTCCTGGATGTGAGCTGCTGACGGCGCTGGAAGAGAGATGCATGAGTTGACGGTTGAAGGAATGCACCTGAGAGGTGCAGGGCTGCCGCAAAGATGACGCTGATGAAGGGAATGAGCGGGATCTGCATCGGGAGAGGCTCCCCTTCTTCAGGCTTGGCTCGCAGACGCGAAGCTCGCAAATGTGAAACCGCTCTCTCTCTGAAGAGGGCGAAAAGGGGCTGATCTGAGGCACACACGTCTACCGGATGACAGAGGATTCATTGTCAGTCACTTCTGATGAAAGATCGGGCTTCCATGCCTACTGCTGGTGAGGGAGGCGGATGAGGGCGGCGCTCCTGCTGGTGGGTGCCATATGGGGCGTCACGTCACCCTTCCTGCAGTGCAATGATACACATGACACCAGCCCGCAAGGAGAACACATCCTCAAGAGGACGCTGAGGCTGCTCACAAACACCAAGGTGAGATGTGAGAGCATCAACAAGGCCAACGAGCCGAGCGGCGTTGTCGAACCGTACGTGTGTATGTGTATGTGTGCCTGCGTGTGTCTGTTCATTCAGTTCATCGTGCCATATCTGCTGAACCAGGTGGGCAGTGTGCTCTACTACTTCCTACTGAGAGACTACAGTCAGCACAGCACCACAGACAGTCCCTCCACTGCCATGCATCACACTCGTGTGCGTGTGGTGTATGTGCGTGTGCAGAGTTGCCCGTGGCTGTGCCGCTGGCCAACAGCCTTTCCTTTCTGTTCACGTACATCACTGAGGTCTGCCTCGACACACAGCTCCTGCAGACATTCACTGACCCAGGTAGGTCCGCAGAGCACAGAGCAGAGCAGGGCAGGGCAGGGCAGCCGCTCATGTGCGTGTTGTACTGCTTGTGTGTTCAGTCGGTCTTGCTGGCGCATTGTTGATCGTCACGGGAGCTGCCGTGTGTCTGCAAAACTGACGGCCGTCGTGTTGGCTGCGCTGATTGATTGGATTGGTGCGATTTATGGCGTATTTGCTGCCCTGCCCGTGGAGCTGTGGCGTGTGCCTGTCGTGGAATGCCTCCCCCTGCCCGATGCGGCCTCTCTCCACAGCACCTCTCGGGCCCTCGGCACATCCATCGTCAATGTAGCTCTTCTGCTGGAGCGTATCGACGCCCTCCTCGCCCGCCACTCGCTCACCGGTGTCATCGGTGTCGACCGCACTTATGCACCCCTCCCGCACAACAGCCTCGGGTGCGTTTTGCGGCCTCCTTGTTGCGGTGCTTCGTTTGTGCAGCCATTTTGCGCGTCGACTGAGGCTATTCCGGACGCCTCTGCTTAAGCGGCTACTTGATCCGGGCGGCGTATGTGCCGGAAACAAGGCACGTCGACAGCTGAATGGGTGGTGATGGGATGGTTCATCCGTCTGGCTGTCATCTACGGGCTGATACCCACCTCCAAGCTGGCTGCATCGGCGTGTGTGGGGTGGATGGACGACACACTTTTGCCGGTGTGAGGTGGGTGGGTGGCCTGCCGTGCCATTGCGTGGTGCGGGGATGGGAAGGTTATCGAGTGGCAGTTGTCGTGTGTTGGACTTCCTTCGTACGTGCGCATGTATGTATGTGCATACAGACACTCGTCCATTTCACGTGAATCCACATGCATTCAGACATCAAAACCAACAGACGCGAATTCGAACAGCTCTCCTTGTCTCCCTCCCTCGCCGGTACCTTAAGCATATCTCTTCCTCTCCTTCTTGCAGCCGGACAGCCATGCGTGGATGAGCACACAAAGAAGTGCCTGCCTGCCTGCCTGCCTCATAGCGTCAATCTGTATGTTTGCATCGATGATGAGGTTTTCGGGGACACGGCTTGGGACGTCACCGCGTCGATGAAACGGTCGCAAAGCTTTTAGTCGATGCACAGCTCTCCATGGCCATGCAAGGAGAATGTCATTCATGTGTGTCTGTGTGTTGTTTGTGTGTGTGTGTGTGTGTGTGTGTGTGTGTGCTAGGCCTTCTGAAGGATGCCGACTGAAGGGGGACGAGAAACATCGGCTGACTGGAGCTGGGGCAGGCGGAGAAACCCATAACAGTCTCGCGACTCTCGCCGCCTGTAAATCCGGCTTCCTGGCCGCTCTTCTGCGCCAGTTTTCCCCCTAAGGCTGTAGGTTGCCGCTTCTGCCTGCCCAACTCCCTCCATAGGGACCCCCATCCACCCTATCCCCTCCCCATCCCTCCCCTCCCCTCCCTTCGTCTGCGTTGTTTTCCTCCATCCATGGCATTACAAGTTCAGGGGCCGGCACCCCGGCCGACAGATCCGCAGGGCTTTCCGCTCTTCTGTAGCTTAGGCGTAGAGGTGGAGGCCCAGACCAACCTGTTCGAGATCGGACTCAAGAAGAAATTCGCCGTTTGGGTATACGCCACAGGTACGTGGAGCTGATGCGTGACAGATGTGGCCAGATCTGTGGTGTGGGCCGTATTGTGTGGTATTTGTGGTGGTTGTGGTGCAGAGTTTGACCCGCCCGTGAACGCCCTCGGGCCGCAGCGGGCGCTGATCTACCGAAACTCCCAGCAGGTACGACACAGACGATGGCCCCAGACGGGAAAGCTCACGGGGGAGGGAGGGGG